CCTGCCAGGGGCTGCATAAATGCAGGACAGAAAGATCCCGTCCCAGAAGTTTTATAATGTGAACAAGAGACAACGGGGTTACAGAGAGACTGGAAAGGAGGGAGACAAGCTAATTTCCAAATGAATTAAGTCTGAAAGAACAAAGAAGAAACAAGAAAAAGAAAAGGTTTGTCTGAGACCTGGGGACACCATAACTTTGGTATTTTATTCACATGGTGACGTTGGTGAGGCCATACCTGGAGCAGTGCGCCCAGTTTTGGGCCCCCCACTATGGAAAGGCTGTGGACAAATTGGACAGAGTCCAGCGGAGGGCAACGAAAATGGTTGAGGGGCTGGGGGACATGACTTCTGAGGAAAAACTGAGGGAACGGCTTATTTAGTCTGCAGAAGAGAAGACTGAGGGGGGATTTGATAGTAGCCTTTAGCTGCCTGAAGTGGGGAGGGAGGGGGCCCAAGAGGATGGAGCTAGACCAGGGCAGGCAAAATATGGCCTGCCAGGCAATTTCATCTGGCCCATAGGTGCCCACCAACTAGTTGCACCCAGCATTTCCTCTAAGCTGTGTGGCAAGCACAGTCACGCAGGCGTGCCTGGCAGTGCAGCATGAGCGCGCCTGCGCGGCCACGCACACCACACAGCTGAGAGGGAACACCAATTGTACCCACCCAGCTCTTCCACTCATGAGGGTGGAAGTGAGGTGCCCACATATACCCACCCCCCAGCATACTCTATTGCACCTCACTCCCATCCTCACAGGCAGAAGGGCCCATCCCAACCAGCACGCACCTTCCAGCCGGCGCTGCCGCTGCTACAGCCACCAAGGAACCTGCTTGGCTTCCCTGGCATCCCACTTGCTCTGGGCACCAGGTGGGGAAGCAGCGGGGGGGTGGGGAGGTGCAGTTGGGCGGGAGCTGGGGCTGGGAGCAGTGCAGAGCCCTGCTCGAGTGTGCAGGGTGTGGTCATGAGGGATGGTGAAGCATGACTGATTGGTGCCTCTTGAGACTGGGGGGGCACCATGGCAGTGAGTGGGTACCACCTGCAGATGCTGATGGTGATGTCAGCAGTGGCAGGCAGGGACTTGGTGGTGGTGTCGTTGGCAAGCGGGATCTGTGGGAGTGATCGGGGGCAGGTGGGGTCTGCGGAGGGTTGGTGGAG